GAATGATGGATGACTGTATTTGTGGATAAATGGAATGGTAGATGGATGGATGGATCGACCAAATATGAAATGAGGTAAAAACATGAGTCTAGTAACACAGTGCTTCTCTCTTACTGTCAGCTATCAAATAGAGACAGTAAGGGTGATTTTTATACAAAGTATTAGTCGAACCCAAGTACAAAGCTGGTAACAGCCAGAATCTAAAGGAGCGATGGAGGGATAGATGGGAAAACGGCGTGTGTGGATGGTGGAGTGAGTGGGTAGATGAATGGATGGAATGATGGATGACTGTATTTGTGGATGAATGGAATGGTAGATGGATGGATGGATCGACCAAATATGAAATGAGGTAAGAACATGAGTCTAGTAACTCAGTGCTTCTCTCTTTCTGTCAGCTATCAAATAGAGACAGTAAGGGTGATTTTTATACAAAGTATTAGTAGAGCCCAAGTACAAAGCTGGTAACAGCCAGAATGGAAGGATGCGGTGAAAAATAGCATTGAGTGGATGATGGGATAAATGGTGTGGGTAGATGAATGGGCGGGACTATGGTTACGTTCGTGGATAGATGCAATGGTAGATGGAAGGATGGATGGATCGGCCTATATGTATGCTGATATATTAAAACAGGTAAAAACCAGGGTCTCATGATGTGATTGCTTCTCTCTTACTGTCACCAAGCAAGTCAAGACAGTAAGGATGATTGTTATACAAAGTATCGATCGAGCCCACGCGCAAAAACATCCTGTTTCCTCTACCTAAACTAACGGTTCCGGTCGTAGTCTGGTTATATGCAGTGTTGCCACTTTGGATATTTTACATCCATATTTAGATGTTTTCCCCTTGCATTTAGAAGGCGTTTTTGACGTTTAGATGGTAAATGTTTTTCTAGACGTTTTTCATATGGAGTGAATTTATCAAATCTAACCAAAGAAACAGGATAAAATTTGACCTCTTAAATGCTATCTTGACAATAAATTTCGGTAGGAAAATGCTGTTTCACTTATCAGCTCCCTGGCTGTGTATTAAAAGAAATTGGAACAGCTAAAGCATACCAGAGTCATTTTGGATCTGAAGCTTCAACTTCATCATTAAAGCTAAGTTTATCCCGTGGATCTTGTAAGGCAGACTTCAGTAAAGATGAGGACAAGATTCTATAGGGTAAGTCATATCAATAGCTATGTAATATGTGACTATTTCTTTTTGAATGTTTTTTCTAGATGTTTCCCACGCAAATTTAGATGTTTTTAGATATTTTGGACTCCGTTTTAGATATTTTTTTTTTCAAAGAAAAGTGGCAACACTGGTTATAAGTCAGTCCTTCCTTTTTTCGGAATGTAGCGAGCCGGCCAAACCCTCTGGTCACGCTCATGTTTATAATTCTCTCCAGGTCATAATAATCTTGTTTCTCTACTGCTTGTTCCCAAAGGGCTCTGACTACATCTGACTTGTCAGGTGTCAATTCACCACCCTACGGTGAAGATCCAGCCAGTCTGACTGTTCATTCACCACCACGCCTACATGGCCTGATGAAAAGATCCAAATTATGCTCACCACCCGTGACCTTACAAGGGAAATATACCCTGTCTTCAACTTTCTCAGCATGCTGTCAGAGTCTGTTACAACTACGACCAGTGTATGCATCTTGTTCTCTAGCCACCAGAAAGCTGCAGTGACCGCCTCCATCTCAATTCGCCATGGGAGAAAGTTACCAATCATCCTGTATTGTCTCTTCCAATCAATCAATCAGGTGCCGTCTCCACAATGAAGGTTGGCTGCAATGGATCTTCAACAAGCCCTGTCTCTTGCCCTTGATGTACACTCACTCATACTGCTGTTCGTCCATCTCTTGATGTTATTCCCCCACTTGTAACGCTGTCTGCCTCTTGCTCGCCTACCTTGAACATTTCCCTCTAGGACGATCTTTACAATACTGTTATGTCTTTTAATGTGGCCAAAATATTTCACTTGTCTCTTTTTTATTTCACCTAGCAACTCTCTTTTAATTCCCAATTTCCACAGTACCTCTTGTATTTGATAGCTTTTGTTTCCATGAAATACGACCTAATCGTCTTTATATCCACATCTCCAAAGAATTGATACGATTTTTCAGTTGTTTGTTCATTGTCCATGTCTCTGTGCCATGCAGTAAGGTTGATAATACATAACATTTGACAATTCTCATTTTTAATGTATTGCTTATTTCTCTTGGTGTCAGTAACTTTTGCATGTTGTTGAAAATGTTTTTGGCCATCCCTATTCTTTTCTTGACTTCTGTTTCACTTCTGCCGTCACATGTTATTACTTGTTCAAGATATAAGAAATTTTTAAGTTGTTCCAATTTCACCCCGTTCACTGTGATATTCATTGTTAGCTGATTATTTTCTTTCCTAAATATCATGGTTTTTGTCTTTTTAAAATTAATATCTAATCCAAATTCTGCACTCCTTCTGTTTACTTGCCCCACTAGGTTTTGCAACTCCTGCTCACTCTTTGCTAGCAACACTGTGTCGTCAGCATATCTCAGATTGTTTATTATTCTACCATTGTTGTTCAGTCCTGGTAATTCTACAATTTCTTTAAAAATGGTTTCTGTACATAAGTTGAAAAGGCTAGGCGACAGCACACATCCTTGTCTTACTCCTCTCTTGATCTCTATCTGGGGTGAGCAGATGTTGTCATATCTTACTGTTGCTTCTTGGTCCCAGTATAAGTTTCTAATAAGTCTGATATCCTTGCCATCTAGTCCTATATTTGGAAGAACTGATTGTCTCTCCCAAGACTGCTAAAAAGACGAGAACATGTGGATATTCAATGCATCAAAATATTTCAGCCTCAGATAAATCAACCAATCAAGTGCCGCCTCCATAGTCAAAGTAGGCTACAATGTATCTTCCAAACTCTGTCTTTTGTGAAAAGGAGGGGAGGGGGGATAAATCCTCACCTGCACAGTCGTGGCGACAGCACTAGCCATACGACCGTAAATGCTCAGGCTCAAAGACCCCTGCCTGCACCGATAAAGTGGTATAATAAAGGCAGTAACTGGCAGTATTCATGAAGATAAGCCAAATCAGTAATTAAACAGGCACTAGAATCGGACATAAATGGACTAAAGAAACAAGTCCCCCTCCCCCTTCTCGGAAAACTCTAATGCAAAAGACGTTGCGAGAGGCCAAAGGTGTTGGCGAATGGCCCGCAGCTGGGATCGAACCCGGCATCCCGGCATTACGAAGCGTTCGCATCGACTTAGCCACAGAGCCGACGAAGAAGTTAGCTGAGAGTAAAATAAAAGGAGATTTTGCTTTGAGCCAAAAAGCTTTTTAAAGAACATCGTAAATGCTAAATACGTAACAAAAATCTTAAATTAGTATATTTTCAGGAGGAAGAAGACAACGGAACCCACCAAAGGCCACCCGATGCTCCTAAGCAGCTAGCCGAGGGTATTGCACCGAAGGGGACCAGCACTCGGGAATTCAATTCTCTCTTACGCCACCCTAACCCCACACCACATGTATTTAAACAATGCCTCTCAGTCTTATTTCAGACTCTGCCTAACGACGAATACCAACTTGAATGCCTAAGTGATAACACAATCTTAAATTAGCATATTTTCAGGAATAAGAAGACAACGGAAACCACCACGGGATATTTAACCAACCAGACGCTCCAGCGTCGAGAAGCCACCTCTCTCAATCTATCTGTCGTTCTTATTCTTCCGACCTAACTATCACATCTCCTAGCACCTTCGAGCAAATTACCTCTCTCATCTGCAACCTATCTTACCTCCACTACTTCCCCACACTCTGCGAAAAAAAAAAAAAAAAAACGGGCTGATCACACCAACAGATTGAGACGGCACTGGTTGTCCTGAAAAGGAGCATTATTTGAGACTTTGTGACCTAGTGTTTGGCTTTTCCCGGCGGCTTTACAGAACGGCAACCAAGCAGCAATAGGGCACCAGCGCAGCGATCAGCACGAGGTAAACCAAGCACCAGCAACAATCAGCTCAAACCCACAGATATCAGCACTAAGAGAACTGGACCATACCAGACCCAAAAACCACAAGCACCACACCGGACCGAGGAAGCAAAGAGCCGGTATATCAGGTGTGACTATACATCACAGATATAAGGAAACCAAATAAGACAGTCAAAGAAACTTTCTTCATATAGCAGGCCTCCGGGGAGCTGAAAAGGGATCACATTTGGAATTTTTGTTCGACAACTGGAATTGGAATTGGAAAATTTCCACATATCCTTAGTGATAGAGGTCACAGAGTAAAGGCATGAATCACACGATGCATATGTTGAGATCCCGGGGAATTTAACGAATAGCACTGCTCGTGTTTATTGATAACTCCCATCATTATCTTTACATATTTCAATTGATTAAATGTAGATAAATAAATTGTTAACTAATTCATTTGTCGCCTGAGTTTTAAACAAAATATAAAAATTAAAAGGATTATTTTATAGAATTCTTGCGGGATCGTGGCCCAGTATCCTTATTGTTCCCAGGCCAGGCGAGCGTGTTAAGGACAAACGCAGAAGAAGCATTCTTCGATGCACCCGGTCACAATAGTAATGCTGATGATATCGACAGTGGCGTGGTGAAAATGAAGATAATGATTATGGTGGTGAGGTGATGATGATGATGGTGGTGGTGTGTTGAAGATGATGATGATGATGGTGGTATGTTGAAGATGATGATTATGATGACAGTGCTGAGCCTACCACAGCCTGGAATCGATACGGCCCGGTGGGCAGCGACTCCAAGTTTTGAACTTTCCTCACGAAAACAATGGACGTCATGCAGCAGATGACAGCCTGATCAATAATTCCTTCCATCGGACTCGACGACACAACATCCACGTATCTGTTGTTTTACACCGCAGTTACACAGCCTTATCTTGAGCATGGTAGCAAAACTATCTGAGGAATGCGTTCTCAGGCCCCCGCTGCATCTGCTGCAGGCTAGTAACTTCGTCCGTTTCTATGAACATGAGTAAACTGGTGCCTGGCCAGCGTCTTCACCAACGATGTGTTTGTTGTTGTTGGAACAAACTGTGCAATTTCAATTACTGTCGGATATTCATTTTTCTGGTCGTCACCAGCATAGCATTTATATTTTTCTTAGCAGTTTATACGTGTAAACCCATGGGACATTCTTGTTTTGGATTAACTGATGGATCACCAGTTGCACTCTCTTACTACGATGCTTTCCTGATGGGCAAGGTTTTCAAACATAATTTCAGCGAGGCGGTGTTAAATAAAGAACGAAGGCTAAATTTAGAAGGAGAAGATGTGTTGATATATTTACATATTCAAAAGACAGGCGGGGCGACGTTCGGGCGGCATTTGGTGCATAATTTAGATGTGGATTTTCCCTGCGAGTGCAAGGCCCATATCAAGAAGTGTGTGTGTGTGACGAGGAACTCCAGGAGATGGTTGTTCAGTCGGCACGCAACGGGCTGGATGTGTGGACTTCATGCTGACTGGACAGAGCTGACCGACTGTGTGGACAAGTGGTTTAAGCGTAATGATGTCAAGTCCAGGAAACATCGAGTGTAAGTACCTCTGTTTAGTATTAGTACAGTCATTCCCATTTGCTAATTCCTTGGAACCTTTCTGGGAGCTTTCTTAATATCCTACCCCAAACAGGGGAAATCCACAGGTCACGGGACAGTCTAATATTTCTATGGCTGGTAGATATAGTAGGCTGCATGCAGTCATGGGACCTAGGCTGCATGCAGTTGTGGGACCTAGGCTGCATGCTGTCGTGGGACCTAGGCTGCACTCTTTTGTGGGACGTAGGTGGGTTGGGGTTAGGGCCAGTTCTAGATGTTTTTGGGTCATTAGAAACATCAGAAAGCCTTGTAACCCAGTCTTACCACCCTTTAAAATGTTGGACTATCCTTTGACATCATCTGGGGGTAGGATATTGCCAAAGGATATTTCTGGTAAATAGTATTAGTATTGATAGTTTTAAATTACACTGTTTAGGCTTGCAGGTAAGGCTACTGTGAAAGCCGGACAAGCCATGGACCAGGCTGATACACTGAATCAGTCAGTGAATGTCCTAAGAGAGTTGAGACGTTTGCGTGAACCAACTGAGGACTGTGAATCTGCAACCATGGTCAGACTGCAAGAAAAATATTTTAAAAGGGGCGTCACCAAACAAGAACACTATGCGGGTAGCCAAAGAAGAAGAATGAAACAACACAAATCTGGTGTCTTTAGCCGCTACATGCTGTGGGATTTACTTAGGAGGGGATCCGAGCACTTATGGACTGTGTGATTCGACGTGCAGTGAGGATAATTTGTCGATTAAGTAACTAACTAACTATATTACACTTTAAGTAGGCAGAGTAATCACAGCACATGGCGATGCCAAGTGTCAATACCAGGCATGACCAGCAAGACCCGCTCACTTAAAAAAAATAATCTTCCACAGTTAGAACAGCTGATTTCAGGACCATTATTGCCATCATGTCTAATCCTGACATATTTCTTCTGTGTTCAGCTTTTAACCTGTCTGCGATGCTTTTGTCCTTAGTTTCTTTTACCTTCCAAATTGTTGTCTTCCATGCACTGTGATCCATGGTGCCCTGTTACAACTAATCCACATCAGTACCTGGATGATTCATGCCCCACTTGCAGACAGCTTTAAATCGTTGTGCAGGCCAACATGGCAACTTTTACCTGTCAGTAATTCACCAAGAAGGATGTCGTTATGTGACTCCTCCATCCTGATATTAGTTATAATGAATTCAGTTGCATATTCTTCTACAGGATGTCACTCGCTAACCCCTATTTAGAGTTTTACTATTGCAAGTTCACATTAATTAGTTTCCAGTTACTCACTGAATGGTTCAGCGCTGATGCATGTTTTCTTTATCTTCGCGTTCACCGTCTGTAAACACAGGCAGAAAGTTCTGGTTGTACATCAACTTGTGGACTCTAAGTCATGTCCCATGAGTGTTGCATGCACATTCATTTCACAGGTCTGCCTCATTTGTGTGCGGACTGTTAGATTCTCATTCCAGACACATACTCTGACTTCTAAGGAAGCTCCCAGTTAGTCAGCTATTATGACATGCTTGTTGGGTCGGCAGTGGGTCTGTTTTTGTTTTCCTCACAATAGGCCCCTGAACCTCAATGGGGATGATGCAGTTTTTGAATTCAAAATTGTCTGATGCCAAATAATTAACTACATCAGAATCAAGTAGGGTACTTCTGAATGATAAAACTGCAGTCATAACACGTAATCCACGGATGCGGGACATTTGTTAACTTTAAGTATTTTTGGTGCTGGTACTTAAACTGACGTCACAGCAGACCACATATATTGGTTCTATGTTTGTGGAAGACTTCTTTGAAGGCAGGGAATGTTGTTTGTTTGCATTCACCTGCTGTAAACCCAGGCAGAATATCCTGGCTGTTCATCCATTTCTAGACTTTGGCTCTTTTCCAGGATTTGAAGTTTGCATGTCAACCCTTTGACAAATCTGGCTTAATTGTATGCAGACTGTTGGTTCCTTACCTCTCAGACAGAAGCACTCCAAGTTTGAAGGATACACCCCTAATTAATCACCTTCTAGGACATGCTTGCTAGGGAGCAGTGTGTCTGTTACTTTTCCCCACGAAAGTGGGGCCTCAGAACCCACACGGGAGTAGGCAAGGATGCCCTGTTTTAAACTTAGAAAACAGGTCGAGATAGTGATCATATGGCATGGCCAAGACATAGTCACTGTAGTACTGCTCAGGCTTGTGCTTCGGAGAGGAGGAGCATTTCTGGCCTTGTTTGGTACTGTCACGGGCTGAAACTCCATTTCTGGCCTTGTTTATTACTTTCACAGACTGAAACTCCATTTCTGGCCTAGTTTATTACTGTCACAGACTGAAACTCATTTTCTGGCCTAGTTTAGTACTGTCACAGACTGAAACTCCATTTCTGGCCTTGTTTAGTACTATTACGGGCTGAAACCTCATTTCTAGCCTAGTTTAGTACTGTCACAGACTGAAACTCCTTTCTGGCCTTGTCTGGTACTGTCACAGGCTGATTCCCCATTTCTGGCCTTGTCTGGTACTGTCACAGACTGAAACTCCATTTCTGGCCTAGTTTAGTACTGTCACGGACTGAAACTCCATTTCTGGCCTAGTTTAGTACTGTAACCGACTGAAACTCCATTTCTGGCCTAGTTTAGTACTGTCACAGACTGAAACTCCATTTCTGGCCTAGTTTAGTACTGTCACAGGCTGAAACTCCATTTCTGGCCTAGTTTAGTACTGTCACAGGCTGAAACTCCATTTCTGGCCTAGTTTAGTACTGTTACAGGCTGATTCCCCATTTCTGGCCTAGTTTAGTAGTCACAGGCTGATTTCCCATTTCTGGCCTAGTTTAGTACTGTAACCGACTGAAACTCCATTTCTGGCCTAGTTTAGTACTGTCACAGGCTGAAACTCCATTTCTGGCCTAGTTTAGTACTGTAACCGACTGAAACTCCATTTCTGGCCTAGTTTAGTACTGTAACCGACTGAAACCCCATTTCTGGCCTAGTTTAGTACTGTAACCGACTGAAACTCCATTTCTGGCCTAGTTTAGTACTGTAACCGACTGAAACTCCATTTCTGGCCTAGTTTAGTACTGTCACAGACTGAAACTCCATTTCTGGCCTAGTTTAGTACTGTAACCGACTGAAACTCCATTTCTGGCCTAGTTTAGTCCTGTCACAGGCTGATTCCCCATTTCTGGCCTAGTTTAGTACTGTAACAGGCTGATTGATTCCCCATTTCTGGCCTAGTTTAGTACTGTCACAGACTGAAACTCCATTTCTGGCCTAGTTTAGTACTGTCACAGACTGATTGATTCCCCATTTCTGGCCTAGTTTAGTCCTGTAACAGGCTGATTACCATGCTTCCCTATAGCACAATGGAACACTATCGTCTGAAAAGATGGAGATGTGCCAAGAACAAGATAAAAGCACGCGTTCCCCCCCCCCCCCCCCCCTCATTTGATGAAAAGAGATGCATTGGAGAACATTGTAATGACTGGAACGATCAATATTAGAAGATGCAGAGAGAATGAGAGAAATTGTAAGAACTAGGATGGTGGCCAAATAAATTATGTTCAATAGAATACCAAAAACAAGAATGGAGGTCTGGGGAGCGACATTAAATACTGTGTCATCTGGCAGAGCACATGATGTTGACTTGAAGGTTTATGATTGAAGCAGTGCGGGCCACTCAATGTAAATGTATAAAATAATGGTCAGTTTCACTATTCCAAAGCATTCTCTGCGAGTCTATTACAGTTTTATTTTGAACTGTACTGCTACAGACAGCTGTCATTACTGCCTCAGTTTTCATTCTTAGATCAAGAGGGTATCTGCACAAGATATATGGGCTGCCATTCCTCTGGGCAATAGGTTACTTATGTTGGGAATGCAGCATTTGCTACTGAGGAAGGGGACAGAGCACCTATGGGGATGTCCCCAGTGCAGTGATGTCAGTTCTTCATTCCTGCACTCACCAATCCGCCCACTTACTCACTCACTAAATTGCTTACCTATATATTCAGAGTCTACATGGATAGTGATGATCTTCTTCTACTGAGCGTTCACCGGATGTTAACTCAGGTGGAAAGTTTTGGTTGTTCACCCACTTCTGGACTATGGTCTTTTTTACAGATGTGGCTACTGTTGGTTTCATGCCTGCCAGGCAGATACAGTCTGACTTTAAAGGTAACAAACCTAATTAGTCGACTGAACGACATGTTTTGTTCAGGGGCAGTGGATCTGTTGTCTTCCTCCCCTCAAAATGGAGCCCAAAAGTCCTTAAGGAGAGATAGTGATGATAGTGGTCGTAGTATTAACTCTTTGAGTCCCAGGGGGTTTAGCATCAGAGGCCCATGGGGTAGTCAAAAGAGATGAAAAATCGGCGCATCTTGCGTTCATTGGGCCTCTAGGCGGGAACCTATGAACGTATGATGTGTTCTTTAGGACTCAAAGAGATAATAAATAATACTACAGGGGTCAGTGGAGGAGAAGAGGCAGATCAAGAAAGACCTGAATAAGAACTGGACTGACTGAACAGGCATTATGCATGCAACCATGAAGTCCATCACATCTGACCATCAAAGATGGAGAGAGCTTCTCAGACAGTCAACAGCAACTGGTGACCCGGGATGATGAAGATAATGATGGATAATAATGGTGTTGTTATTAATCTGTCTGTCCAGGTATCATTACATAACTTTCCTGCGTGACCCGGTGAAGAGATTTCTGAGTGAGTGGCAGCATGTGCAGCGCGGAGCCACCTGGAAAGCTGCCCGGCTGCACTGCAACGGGAGAGATGCAACCATGGAGGAAGTGCCCTTTTGTTTTACTGGTGTTGATTGGTCGGGGGTGCCCTTTGATGAGTTCATGTCCTGCAAGTAAGTTGTTGACCTTTAAGTTTTTAATTACCTGTTGGTTTTTGGTGTTTGCTTAGTTGGTGTCATTTGGTTTTGGTAAAAGAATGAACCCCACAGCTATTCTTCTTATTCATGGCTTGTGATGTCTGCCTTCTTTCACTTGCTCTTTTCTTTTTTTACCTTGCTACTTTGGATCTTCTTCTTCTTCACGTTCAATATGTAAACCCCGACAGAAAGTTCTGCTTGTTCATCCATTTCTGGACTTTAGTCTTGTTTTAGCACTTGAGTTTTGTGTGCACATCCTTTTGACAGACCTGGCTCATTTGTATGCAGACTGTTGGTCCCTAACCTCTGCAGCAGAAAGTCTGTCAGCTCACACATATATGATTTAATTTTCTTTTGTTAGACTGTATGTTTGGAGGCTTGTATTTTTGCCATTGATAAGGTCTCTGTGGAACTCACACTCCTACAGTAGCATCAGACGTTGTTAGCCTGGAGGTTTTTGTGGCTGCTATATAATTTAAAACTAATATAATGATGCTTCCGTCTCTGTCTAGCCTGTATGTTTCATAACCTCTAATTTAAAAAATACAAGAGCCTGCGATTAAATGGGTTTTCGGGATGCAGACATCAATCTTTTGTTCATAGTCAGTAGTTTGGGGTGGATCCCTTCAAGGCTCGGAATCCGGCGCTGTTCCCGCATAGTCCATAGGAGCAGCCCCATAACGGTGTAGGTATCTAAGCATATTCATTAATGGTAGATTGCATTGATGTCCATTTCCATTTCTGGGTGCCCAAGCCAATCAGGCCGGATTGTCCATCTTCGGTGGTGGAAGTTATGGAGTCTCCCTATCCGTGTCCTGGTTTGTCCAAACACTGCCTGCCAAAAATCAGAGGTTGGGGGAGTTTCCCTTCTCCGCCTTTGATTATCCAGGGTGGGCTCCCTGGGTGTGACCTCGATGGGGATTGTGTGTGTAGCACAGCTCTCTTCTTTGTTGCGTATGTTGATGTCACACCCAGGTTCGTCTTTAGGTTCGCTACAAGAGGAGCCGATTTGAAGATTATAGACGAGGAGAAAGATGGTCGTGTCAATAGTGGTGGTGTTGATGATGATGTCTTGTTAGCTTCATGCTTCTCACGAGTCTCTGATACTAATACAATGAATTATCTTGAAGTCACAAATCTCATCTACACTCTTTATTGTAATATGGCAACAATGCCTCAAATTATGTCATCTTGTTTTCTTATTCTCTAGAAGCTTGGTTGACTGATTCTAGCGTCTAGCTGACACCTAGCCTCTAGTGCGGTTTGGTACTACCATCGGACTGAGCCTGCCGCAAAGAGCTAATTCGTTACTGTGCTCCAGCTTCTCCTTCTTCGTCGCTAGATCCCAGATCGGTGTCTAGTCCAGAATCTGACTCAAGTTCCTCCACCAAAGGTGGTTGAGCAATAACTGAAAATTGCACTCCTCTCAATCTGTATATATGCTCTCTCCCTGTATCATCAGTCAACACAATTGACAAGTCATACAAGACTCCATGCCTTCTAACGTAGATTCTTACTGCTGTAAACATTTTTCCCGTCAGACTGTCCTGCTCTGGCCCTCTCCTGTTCTTGTCCTTCTCTGCTGTCCCCCCAAAGGTTCAAATTCTCTTTCTTGACCACTTTCAGCTAGGTCCGTTCACATTTCTGCTCACTTTCCTTTCAGCTATATTTGTGGTGACGTTTTCTGGTCGCGATCTTATTTGATTCTGGATTGTGTTCAATATTGTCACTTTCTGTTTGTTGTGGTTTCCGCTCTTGCTGTTGTTTTTGTAATCTGGCTGGCCCTGTGCTGCGCTCAAGATGATTGGATGTTGGATCGATTTATTGTGGTTTTCCTTGGCTGTTTGTTGTTTCCGGGGAAAGTAGATTGCCTATCCTAATAAGGACCGGCGGTCGATTGACTTGGGCAGGTACTGATGGCTATACTGCTGAGGTCTGGTATTATTTGGTGATTTTCTCGTATCCTTGTTGTAAAGTACTGCTCCTACATAGGGTTTCGGTAATTTGGCCTTGGTTGTGTCGTATCTGGTATTAGTGTTTGGGGTAACGGTGTCGACCTCGTTTGACTTCAAATTTTGGCTGTCGATGTGGTTCCTCTGGTGATGACCAAAAAACATCATCATCCTGCAGTTCTGAGTTATAGAAGTTCGGGTCCTCCATCTCCATGATGCGTTCGTTAATTTGGTCAACTGTTGCCAACGGAAACTGTTTCATCAGCAATGCCTGAGTTTTCTTATCTGATGTTTGATGCGGCTTTTTCTGGGTCTCGGCTCCCTGTATTTGCTGCCTTCTTGTTGCCTCTTTCCGTGCTTTCTCTCTTTCTTCCATCACTCTGTTGGTTGCTTGCAGTTCCTTGTTAAGTCTGTTGTTTTCTTCGTATGCTCTTCGTAACTTTTCCTCTGTTTCAGCCAGTGCCTTCTTGATCATTGCGACTTCTTTCGCGAGAAGTTGTTGGTTATCCCGCAGATCTTTGATTACCGCCTCGTCTTCCCTTGCCTTAGTTGGTTGTTCCTTTTGTGTCTAGATAGTGGCCAGTGCATTCATGATGTCCTCCTTGAATTTCGTCATCTCTGCTGTCATCCGTTTCTGGGTGTCAAGAGTCGCCTGCATTATAGCTCTCAGGCCTGTTATTTCATCTCTGTCTTCATCTCGTTGCCTTTTGGATGCGTCTTTCTCGTCTCTGAGAGCTTGGATGTCACTTTTGAGTTGAGCCACCTCGTTGCTCAATTTGGTGGTAATGGCTGCAGTTATGCCTTGGGTTGCTTCGTGTCTTCTGCGGGCCTCATGGTATGGAATCTTATCCCGTATGGCCGTGGTTGCAATTTCTCTACATTGTTGCAGATAGGGGCACCCCAGGTACCTGGTGCTGTGCTGGCCGTAGCAGTTGGCGCACTTTCTGTTTGTATTGGGTGACTTAAAGTCTGTGTCCAGCTTTGCCAGCAGGCAATTGTTGAAGGCATGGTGTTGTGAACAGTATCGGCATACTTCATGTTCGCTCACACAAGTGGCCCGGGAGTGCCATGCTTTTTGGCAACGAGAGCACTGGATCACCTGTGGCACGTATTGCTCTGGTCTTTGCATTCTTTGATCTAGGTAGACTTTATCCGGGATGTTTTCTCCTTCCGATGTTATCACCGCCACTGGCAATGGATGCCGTTTTGAGCCCAGTCTCTCTGCTTGGTTGATGTTGACATTGGGGTTTTCTTTCCTTATTTGTTGCAGAATTTCTTCGTTGCTCCATTGCAGGTTGACTCTTCGGATCACCCAGCGTCTTACATTCTGGAAGATGGTGGCCGTTACAGTTATCTCCTCGGATAGTCGGAGTTCTTTCTTGCCGTCGTGTTGGATGTCATCCAGCATGTCTGAGGTGCGGTTGGTTCTGTTTAGTGAAGCTATCACTCCTTCTCGAGTTCTCTTAATCTTTGCGACTGCCCTCTTGCCTAACATGATCTCCAGCATATTGATCAATGTTAGCGTTGCCAGTGTAGTGATTGCTGTCCGGCCCGAGTTGGTCTGTCGTAGAAATATTGTGGCAGGAAATTCATAGCTGCCTGTCTTTCGTCGATCTGGAGATGTTTGTGGACTTGGCTGTGTTGGTTCAGGTGACGCTGGGACGTCACTCAGGGCCTCACTGGTAGTAGGGGCGTCTTCCTGTGGTTCGGTAGTATCTGTCTGCGTCTTCCTGGCCTCCGAGTTAGATCGGGTAGATCTGTCAGTGGGCTGTTTCCTCTGTCCGTTGCGCTTTCCGTTAGGTTTGTTTCTCCGAGACATGGTGCTTGCGGAGAAGGCCTCTCGCTCTGGCAAATACTTTGTATTGTGTTATGTAAGTTTCAGTCCTATCTGGTGATAATTGCGGAGAAGTCCTCTCGCTCTGCCTATCCTCAAAGGGACCAGCAGGTACTGTATTGTGCAGGTATCAATATCTGATGACAATTGCGGAGAAGTCCTCTCGCTCTGCCTATCCTCCAAGGGACCAGCATATACAGTATTGTGCAGGTATCAATACTATCTGATGATTGGCTGATAAGGTGGAGCCGAAGCTGCTTGCCGTTGCCGAATCTCCCCCCAAAGGTTCCGGGCAAAGGCTTATATAGGTATCAGTAGCTCGCTTCTAGAACTTTCTAGCCACATGTTTTGCAGACTCTACTGCGACTTTAACTAGCCGGGCCAGTGAAAGTATTCCAACAATGTGAAAAAACAACTTATTGTTTTTGTGCTGGACGGGAGAGTCACGTGATGTCTGGCCAACTACTGGAAGCTCATGCCAAGGACACTGCACTATTAGCTAACACTGAGCCCAGTGGAAAGATTCTAGAAATAAGGGTGAAGGCCATGATGGGCCTGTTGTGCAGACAGCACAACATTAAAACGCAGTATGAGTAGTGACCCTGTTACAATTGGGACCTGTCCACACACTGGTGGGCCCAACTAACGGGGAGTGACACTCCGTCGACTGTTTCTGTCTGGCTTAATCCAACCACTTCAGGCATTGGGGGTCTGTTTTGTTAGGGATGGCTCCTGGCCATCTGCCAAAGCCATGTCTGTTACAACAGGTAGCACCACATGTAGGTATGGTTGGCTTGATTGGCAGAGACTGTGAGTTGCGAGCAGGCATTTCCCATTTTTTAGGTGGGACCTGAACATACCAGTCCTTGTTACTCTCATAGAAAGTGACTACAGTTCGGTGGAGCAGATGGATCACCACAGTCTGGTGAGATTGATGCAGGGGGGAGTGACGAGAGGTTCTGGCAGATGCTCGAGGCTCAGAGGATAGGCAAGACGAACGTTTAATCAGAATGCTACTTGCACCATTAGAATCAAAACTCTTCTCTGGCTGCTGAAGATGGGGATGGAGCGCTTATGGGAATGCCTCAAATGCTGTGATGTCGGTTCTTGAATCAAATCAAATAAAATCATAGAAGGTGACTAATTAGAGTTTCCTTCGCAGCCAGAGTGCCTGAGAAGCCAGGAACCAACAGTCTGCATACAAATAAGCCAGAACTTTAAAATAAATGTGCACGTAAAACTCAAGTCCTGGAGCTGTATCAAGGTCTAGAAGTGGACGAGCAGCCAGAACTTTCTGCCAGAGTTTACAGCCAGTGAATGCTAAGAATAATAAGAAGAAACTGTATATGTGGAAGTCTGTGAGCTGGCACAGGCATTCATTGTTAAGTTCAGATGATTGACACTTGATGGTTTATACAGTCAGTATTGTGCTGCCCGCCTTCACTTTCCCTGTTATTTTCTTTACTGTACTGAGAGGCATGTATCACGATACTGGATCTTCAGTTGCCGATACATTTCTATAGGTTTCACTGCTTGACTGATCCGATCATGGATGACAGGATCTTGCTCCTCTTTGGTGCATGTCAAAATTGGGGTGGCCATCTTTAAACTGTCATTAAGATGTCACCCTGTTTGGCTGCACCGTGATGTCACATGCTTACAATACTTGACATCCTTAACAACAAAATTGAACGGTTACAAGACAGTAGCATGGTTATTACAATTTTTAATCACGCTTTTAATTAATTTATGTCTGAAACCCCTCATATTATATAGTATCCTACCCAAAAATGTTCTACTTCTTCTTCAGCATTCCGAGCCCTTGAGGTTCATTGCTGCAGGTATCACCCGCCTCCATTCATCACTCTGGTTGGCCTTCTCTTTCCAGTTGGTAACACCAAGTGTTTGCCGGTCTGTCTGGATATTATCTCTCCATCGTCTTCTTGGTCCGCCTTGTGTTCTACGACCATTCATCTCCCTTGTGTATAGTTTTTACTTCTCTGTCATCTGACATTCTTTCTGTCATCTGACATTCTCTCAATATGCCTAAGCCGTTTCAGTCTATTAGCTCTCATGATGCCAATGTTCAGTGGTGATTTAAACAGATTATAAACTTCATTGTTGCTTTTCACTCTCCATTCCCCTCTGTTTGAATCTTTGATGTATCCAAAGATTCGTCGTAAGACTCTGTTTTCGAAAACTGGCAATAGGGCTTCATCTCTTTTAGTTGTGCCCCAAGTTTCAGAGCCATATAAAACCACTGGTCTTATCAACGTTTGATAGATTTTGCTCTTGAGACAGACACTTTGACTTTAACAGATGTTATAGGGCATAGTATACTTTTTTCCAGATTGTATTTTAGGTTGTAATTTTTCTCTCAGCATGTTGGAGCAGTTGAAATTTGCACCCAGGTACTTATATGTTTCCGTTCGTTTGATTTTCATATTATCGACTTGTATGTGCCGGAGTTTATATTCTTTTCTTGTTTAGTTATTATCATGTATTCTTATCTTGATTGATAACTAGTCCCATTTTCTGAGCTGATTTTAGACAGTGTTTTAACAGTCTCTCCAACGATATTAATGTCATCAGCATATCTAAGTATGATTGTAGTTTTTCCTATAGTACATTCTTGTTTCAATTTCCTTATAATTTTCTCCAGGGCCAGGTTGATAAGTGGGGACAGAGCATCACCTTGCTTAAACCAGATGTTATTTGAAAAGGGTCTGACTTTCTGCCTTTATATATTATTATATTACAAGTGTCTTGCATTCATAGTTTGGTACCCACAAATGTTATCCCAGTAAAAAATATGTTACGCTTTCTTCTCTCCTCAGACACAACCTGGCCTTTAACCGCATGACCAGGATGATGGCAAACTTATCGAAAGTCAACTGCTATAACCGCACAGGACTGACAGATGATGTAGTCAATGAAATTCTCCTGAAAAGTGCGAAAGAAAATCTGGAAGCCTGTGCATTCTTTGGGCTTGTCGAAGAACAACAGAAGACGCAGTTCCTGTTTGAGAAGACGATGGGGTTGAAGTTCATTGATAATTTCCGACAGAAGATTAAGACTCACGTTTCGCGGTTGGAAATCACTGAAGAGATGACAAAGAAGGTTGTGGAAAAGAATATTCTGGATATTGAACTGTATCAGTATGCCAAAGATTTGTTTTTACAACGTGTGGCTTACATGGAGAGAAAGCTGGGTTACACGGTAGATGAATATTTTAATCACATACGGGATGCTGACGATGCTGGAGACGATGATACCGAAGAGGTGGATGTAGATGAATACGGTGATGAAGATGATACTGATGATGATATTGACGATGATGGTGTTGATATTTATCCGGGTAAAAACACCACTGCTGGCGGGGAGATACCAAACTCCAGCACGGTACGATTGAACAGTTCGAGATAATATTTGGAGGGTTATTCATGGTTTTTCTACCCAGCTGTGAAATGAGATGTTTGAGAAAGGCTGCGAACAAAACCAGAAGAGATTGGGGAAGAAACACCAGATTAGTAAACCTATTGGAACAATACCCATCATTAAATTCATTGAGAGAGAAAGAATAAATTGGTTTGACCACAGTCTTCTTCTTCAATGCTTCTGTGAGAAAACCTTATATCAGGAGGCCGGTAGCCTTGATGCAAGCTACCATGTAGTCCATATCTTCCATTTTGTTGTACAGCTTTGTTTTTGATTGAGGTTAGAACAAACCAGATGGTCTCTGTGTTAGCAGCGTGCAGTCTACAGTATTGGAGTACATGCTCGGCATTTCCAGGCAGTAAGTCTCTGTGTTTTCATTGCGGAAAAACTTGAACATTAATGTTGAATTAAGAATTAACATCTCAGCGCTCGGCACATTTAACATAAGTGCTCTCCACCAATCTTCAGCAGCAAGCGCAGCGTTTCACTTCCGATGGCACAAGTAACCGCCTGATTAAGTGTCCGTCTCGCCCCTCTCCTGATTGTTGAGCATCTGTCGTGTGCTGGCAAAATCTGTTGTGCCCTGCACTTGGTCTGAATCTGCTACACTGATCCTCTCTTGAGAGGCTGTGAAGTGAGTCTTGGTGAGAAAGCTGTGGATATCTAGCCACCTTTCTTGAATGCTATTTTTCAAAAATTAATGTCCAAGTCTCTTGGTAGGTTAAGTCACAGTTTGACTACCTCATGTCACGGCCAATATGTCCACTGTTTCATTGCCTTCCAAGGCACATTGACCTGGAGTCCACCACAGAAGAACCTATATGAATCAGCTGTAGCATCAAGCCTACAAACTGCTTGTCTTTTGAGTGACAGTTGCTTGTAGAACCGACTTAGCATCAGTTAGAAAGAAAGAAAAAAAGCACTCAGGTATATTTGTTGAACGGTTATCTGTTACCGAAAGAACAAGACACCAGCGATGCATCCACCCTAGTTCTGTGGTTGACACAATATGACTTGTTGGTGTAGACTGCTCAGTTTTTTTTAACAGATTGGGCATTCTGTGTATATTCCTCCTTCTCCATTCCTGATTGCCTCCTTAGCTGATCCATCAATGTAAACTCAGCCTGAGACTTCACAACGTCACAGCAAACCAAGCAGCTGAGCGCATCCTAGCTCAGATACCTAGCATCTGGTAAACCGCAGTATGTAGCAGCATAAAGCAGCTTTTGACCAAAAAAACTAAGAAAGATACATGATGTTTCAGAGTTTCTAGTGCAGTTTTAAACTTGATAATTTTGATCTGTTAATATTTCACTTGGAGGGAGTTCACTTCTACCCAGCAAGTCATAACTGAGCTGAATGGAGGGAGTTTGCTTCAGCCAGACAAGACATAAGCTGAATGGAGGGTTTTTGCTTCTACCCAACAAGTCATACCTGAACTGAATGGAAGACATCTGCCTCAGCCAGACAAGACATAAGCTGAATGAAGGGAGTTTGCTTCAGCCAGACAAGACATAAGCTGAATGAGGGAGTTTGCTTCTACCCAACAAGTCATAACTGAGCTGAGTGGAGGGAGTTTGCTTCTGCCAGACAAGACATGAGCTGAATGGAGGGAGTTTGCTTCTGCCAGACAAGACATGAGCTGAGTGGAGGGAGTTTGCTTCTGCCAGACAAGACATGAGCTGAATGGAGGGAGTTTGCTTCTGCCAGACAAGACATGAGCTGAATGGAGGGAGTTTGCTTCTGCCAGACAAGACATGAGCTGAATGGAGGGAGTTTGCTTCTGCCAGACAAGACATGAGCTGAATGGAGGGAGTTTGCTTCTGCCAGACAAGACATGAGCTGAATGGAGGGAGTTTGCTTCTGCCAGACAAGACATGAGCTGAATGGAGGGAGTTTGCTTCTGCCAGACAAGACATGAGCTGAATGGAGGGAGTTTGCTTCTGCCAGACAAGACATGAGCTGAATGGAGGGAGTTTGCTTCTGCCAGACAAGACATGAGCTGAATGAGGGAGTTTGCTTCTACCCAACAAGTCATATGTGAGCTGAGTGGAGGGAGTTTGCTTCTGCCAGACAAGACATGAGCTGAATGGAGGGAGTTTGCATTTGCCCAACAAGATCTAAGTGGCATATTTACTGATTAATTCTTTGTTCAGTGAATAAGAGAAAGCACCAAGAAAACTTACCTGGTCGACTAATGCCTGAAAAAGCTGAATGTATCGCCCCTAGAAATGCATACATTGCAACTTTGCTGTTAACAAGCAGAATTCAGCACAAAGAAGGAATATTGTATGAATAAATAACAAGAGGAAGAAGCTGCAGAATTAGGAAGGAGAAGACCAACACACAGACAAGATTCGCTGTTTAGCATCCACTGAGAAATGATTCTGTTTGGAAATATTTGATGGTTGTTTGTGGGGTTTAACCAGTGACCATAATTTAAAAATGAGTTGTGGTTGTATAAAAACTTTTTCAGGAAAAATTTGTGATTTTATTTTAATTGATATGATACTGAAGTTAAAGGATGATTTATCATGTGACTTCTTAAAACGGGTCATGGCCCTGCGAGGGTTGTGTGAAGAAAAAAATATTGAGGTCGTTGATGCATTTGCAAATTTTAGTTTAACTTAATTTTTTCATGTAAATTGTTAACGATGGCTTCTCAGCAGAGTGGATTGAGATCAGAGACAGTTTGTGAAGCAGTTATTCAACTTTTTTCACCTTAGAGATACTTGAAAAACTATGGCAGGAAGCAGCGGGAAGGTGGAAATACTAGGGTTAATCAAAATATATCTGCTGGCTGGTAATGTGATCCTGTAACCTCTGTTGGAATTCTAACGTTAACTCATTTGGTACCGATGAATGCATCATGTGTTTATCGGTTACTCTTAGCATCATATGGTTTCTTTACTCTTTGTAGTTCGTCCTTGTGATACTTTCAACAAATCCTTCACAGCTGTTACTTAACCATTTCTGTTCCATATTGTTATTATTTCAACTGCTTTAGACTCAAACATGTATTGGTTTAAAGTAAAAAACTGCAATGGATAGAATGAGCTTTAACAACATTGTCTAGGACTCAATGCGTTGAGGCTGTGGTGAAATTATGATATCAAAAGGGTTTTAAAAAAAGTCATTTTGTTTACAGGACCAAATGCTATTGTCAGTAAACATATTAACACCCGGGGCTCCTAAACACTGTGCAAGCACAAACAGAAGCAGTGATGTTAAACTAGGCTTCTCTGGGTCAAGTCGCTGCAGAAATGCTGACATAGCAGCATTTTTCTGAATGTGTTAGTGGTGGAAGTTCTAGTGGCCCTTGCTTCTCAAGGTGACAGAGTTCACAGACAGGAAGATATTGCTCCGTAAACAATGCTATGACAAGCTGAGGTTCACCAAGAACAGATTCATCTCATGTGCACAAGTGTATTGAAAGATTTTATTTGTGAAGTTATTAACTTTTTATTTTTGACCTAATTTATTACAGATACCATAAAAGCTACTGTACAATGGTTGTGACAACTATTTGGTGTAATTTATGTGGCTTGAAAGTATGTACATTTACATATACATACATACATTCCCAGAAACACACACATACCCACACTACAGAGAAATAAAGACGTAATACTATCTCTCTACTCCTCTCCCTGCCCCTCCCCCCTCACACCCTTAGATAGAAAAGAGGTGAAAGAGAGCTCTACACACAAACACATTTTCCTTATTGAAAAACCGGGACATGCACATACAGAAGTATTAGACACAACTTTACACATATGTACATATGCTTTCATAGTCAGAAATACTTGCACACATGCACACATAGAAGGTACAGTCACACACGCATGTGCACTCACACACACATGTGACCTGCCTTGCCCTGTCAAGATTCTGAACCATATAATTGTGATTCTATAGTCAGTTTTAAAGTCGAGAGAATCGACTTTATTGCACCGAGTTTGATCCTATATGGCTCGGTCTCTACAGAACAGCTAACTGTCTGCCAAGAATGTTGCACAAAGCATGAACACTGTAGCACCTTTGGTAATCCGCAGGGGTCTTCATAAAAATTGCCCCGTGAGCCGAGTGACTCGGATGTGACATGAATCCACATCCAAAGCGCAAGGCAAATGGTTTGACCACTTCGCGGCGGAGATCCCCAGTATCTTCTAAAGTCAAAGCTATTGATATGTGCCGCTCCACCTTTTAGCCACTTTGTTCATTGTTCATTTAAAGATCCTCTTCATTGCATCTCAGACTTGATCTGCTCCGATCTCCTCGTGAGTATGCCTCCAAGTGTTTGTAGGCTAACAACTTCCGTTACGTTACAGTCACATTAAAGTTAAATCTTGTGTGGTCAAGTGGCTGCTTCAATGTTTATGTTGCTTAATTTGTGCGTTGACAGTGATATCACTACAGGGCGCCCCATAAGTTTCCGTACGTAGGAAAAAATAAACATATCATCAACGCCATTACACGCATAACTCTGGCTATGCTTATGTGTGTTCTTCATTAGAAAAGGACACGGATTGAAATGTGTTTTCAAAACAGTGGTTGTCATGTAGCCTGGGATTTAGAAGGGAATGATTGGGTGGCCAACTAGAATGCCCTTATACCAGAACCATCATGGTGGAGGCTGAACAACAAAGAGACGCTAGAAAGACCTGCCTAACCGGCCCTATTTCTACAGACACCGTCCCCATCTCCCATTGACCCAGACTCTTTGGTACCTGTGTTGGGCTTGTAAGTCGTCTCCAGACACAGACAGTCAACTGCAGTTTCATGACAGATAAAAGAAAGAGTGGTCATCACCACTTGTGATGGACAAGCAACAACAATCATGGAAAGTATCATATATAAATAATAATAGTTTAAAAAAAAAAAAAGTGTTTTCCCCTATGTATGAACATTTATGGGGCAGTCTGTATAACTATAATATCCTTATACTAGAACCAACAGGGTCAGGAAAATAATGGCAGGCCAGAAGC